CCCCTAATTCTACCTTAGTTACCACATACCAGATCAGGATTAATAATTCCTACCGATACAAGACATACATCACTTAGTTACTCCACGTAAACCCAGTAGGGAGAGTTAGACATAAATATACTCAAACCTCAGAAAGTCTGGCCTCAGAATCTTCAAACTGCAGTAATCCCAGGGTCATTTCTAAAACCTTTAGCTTGAACATACATCACTTAGTTACTCCACGTAAACCCAGTAGGGAGAGTTAGACATAAATATACTCAAACCTCAGAAGGTCTGGCCTCAGAATCTTCAAACTGCAGTAATCCCAGGGTCATTTCTAAAACCTTTAGCTTGGAAAGATATCATGGGATTGATTTAAGAGCAGGTTTGTCCTGCTAGCTCTGCTTATTTGGTTACTATCACAACCACGTGACAGTCCCTGAGTACAGATACCCATGCAGGACTGGCTGGGTGTGGGCAGAGAGTCCACAGTGCAGGGAACCCAAATATGCAGAGGGGAGGGGGGTGGTACAGTACTCATCGGCTGTGTTCAGCACCTAAGCAGGACTTCTGCCTGCAACATGGTTGAGATGGTCTTATCCATCCTGGCTGGGTCGTGAGAGCCAGGTTCTAAAGCACTGGAGGCAGAGTGCTACCAACTCTACCTGGAAATGTGACCGTGACCTAATTCTCTAGTTCTGGAGGGACACAAACAAGATGGCACATGATGGTATCTGGCATGCTCCAGTAGGTGAGAGTGGTGTGTCAACCCTACCCCAGTGGGCAGCCAGGATCTGGTGAATGCTGGGATGAGTATGTCCCCCAATGCTGAGTACCGAGGCACCCATGGTCCTAAAGGAAGTGCCAAGTCTCCCTGGCTCACCTTCTTTCGCATCATACCACTTGAAATGCCACACTTCTTCACCCATCGCTCTCCACTCAGCCTTGTACTTGAGGATGGGCACCCCACCTGTGGCCTCTGGCTCATCAAACTGCACCTGTGCTGTGCTGGAATACGGCTCCACCTGGTCGATGGATGGTGAAGAGGGGGTGTCTGTGGGAGGACAGATGCGGAGACCCGGGTGAGCCCAGTTTGGCCTGGACCCTAACTCCCAGTCATGAAGCATGCCTCTTTCATTTCCGCTCTCTTTTGGGAATCCTGTCACCTGCATCCTGTCCTCCTGGCCCACCTCATCATATAATTCTCCCCCAACATACCCCATGTTGAGATCCCCATTCCTCTAAGGGCTCCCTGACCTTCTGGCTTTGTTGACCTGGCCCTCCCTTCTTCCTACTCTCCTGGGATCACTGAAGTACAAAAAGTGGGCTGGCGAGGCCGGGGGTGGCGTGGAAGCCACCTAAGGGGCACTCACCTGCTTGGACAAGGATGAACTCCAAGGACTCCTGTCCGATGCGGTTCACTGCAGTGCAGTTGTAGTTGCCAAAATCATTTTCAGAGTCTGGGGTCACCTTTAGAAGGAAGAAGCGCCTGGGTTACAAGTGTCCCATGGGATGGCCACAGACTCAGATCCTCATTTGCTGGATTGAGTTAGTAAAGAACAGAACCAGTAAGGCACGGATCATTAGCTGTAGCCCAGCCCTAAACGAGAGAGGAGAATAGCAGAGGGGCTTTGCGGGGGAGGCACATTCCACCTCCAGTCCCTTCTCTGGCACAGGGGGAGGATCGGGGCAGCGGGGAAAGGTGGCTGTGAGGAGGTTCGGTTTCTTCTCCAGCCAGTGGCTCCCCTGCTCAGCATGTGCCAGGGAAACGAGAGAAGACGTGAGCTGCATTGAGGAGCCCGCCCTAGTCAAACTGCACCTTCTCCACCTGCCCCTGCCCCTCCCTGACTCACCTCCAGGTAGCTGGCAGAGGGGGTGTTGTAGATCTTGATGTTGCTGTAGTTGGAGCTTGGCAGCAGCTGACCATCTCGGAACCATGAAATCGTGGCACTGGGGTAGGCGAATACCTCACAGGTGATGTTCACCTGGTTCCCCTCCCAAGTGTACACAGCCACAGGGCCCTGTAGCTTGGGGGCATCTGCAGTGAATGACAGTGACTATCAGGATGACTGCCCCTACTGTGGAGCCTCCCACATCCTGTCTCCTGGCACTAGGGAAGGCAGGATATGCCCCAAAGCAGAGCTAGTGCCTGGTGTTGTGGAGGTCAAGGTTGTCTCGGTATTCCTGAGCCCCAGCTGGCTTGTAAGAAGCCTGGGGATGGTCTATCGGGGTGGCTTGGGGACACAGCTCTGAAATGGCCTAGGGCTAGCTGCCCCAGGGACTGTGAGCAGGGCCCACAGGGTGAGCTTAGGTCCTGGCTGCTGCTCTCCTCTCTCGGCCTGACCGTGCACTGCCCCTCCCTCCCCCGCCTTCCCCCCGGGACTCCTCACATTGCACTTCAAGGTACATGGACTGGGAGTCCTGGCCGATGGTGTTGCTGGCGGTGCAGATGTACTCTCCGGCGTCTGTGTACTGGATGCTCTTCAGGGTCAGGGAGGACACACGGGCGTGGCTGCGCACCACCATGTGCCCGTCCAGAGTCTGCCAGGAGGGGGGTGAGAGTGTCAGAGGCCAAGGCAGGGTGGAGGGCAACGGCAGCTCTAGAAGGGCAGGGACTAGGAGACTAGGCCATCGCTGTCTATGACCAGTCTCACATCCTGTCTCCTCTTTGTGCCAATGTCTACATCTTACTTTAGGTACCACCTAATGCGGGAGGCTCTGGGGAGCACCATGGGAACTTGGGTGTATCCAAAACAAAGAACGGGACTTGGTTATGTCAAGCAGCCTGAACTGTTTCAATGTTGGTTTGGGGCAAGGAAAGGCTGGGTCTCCCAAGATGACTTTGTTTGGGATGTCTAAAACAGAAGCAAGAGCCCTGGCCAGCAGATACTCCTGCAGCAACAGCCTTTGCCGCGTGAGATTCTGAAAAACCTGGTCTCTCATCCTTTCCTTCCAGTCTGCCCATCTGCCAGTTCCATGGTGCAAGCACACGTAACAGGAAACTCACATGTGCCCAATGTAAGAAATTATACAAGAAACCCATATTTGTGCAGATGCCTGTCTTTTTGGATGCTTAAAAGTAAAATAATTCTATTCAAAACAAGTCAAACAACTCAAAGCTCAGGAGCTGTTGAGCTGGAGGTGAGGGTCACTGGGTCCCCTCTCCAGGGACAGTGGTACAGATGCCGCGTGAGATTCTGAAAAACCTGGTCTCTCATCCTTTCCTTCCAGTCTGCCCATCTGCCAGTTCCATGGTGCAAGCACACGTAACAGGAAACTCACATGTGCCCAATGTAAGAAATTATACAAGAAACCCATATTTGTGCAGATGCCTGTCTTTTTGGATGCTTAAAAGTAAAATAATTCTATTCAAAACAAGTCAAACAACTCAAAGCTCAGGAGCTGTTGAGCTGGAGGTGAGGGTCACTGGGTCCCCTCTCCAGGGACAGTGGTACAGACAGCCCAGGCAGAACTGGGATCTTTGACACCACAGTCACCACCACTATCTCATCCTTGATATTGCAGTTGGCTTCCTGAGTCTCTGGAATTGCAATGATTGGTAAAAAAGAGAATACATATGTGAACTGTAAGCAGTGGGTAATGAAATATTTCCAAGGGGTTTTCTCCCTTTACGTTGTAACCATTCTAAAATGGTTGCTGGCTCAAGAAAAGTCTGGGCATGTGGCCCAAGTTGAGCTCCTCAAGAAAGGTGGTAATCTGAAGAAGGGGTCTTGCTCCTTGTAGCACATGATACTCTGTACAGATGGCCAGGAGGGTACTCTGCATCTGGCGTCTGCCAGCCCATGGGGTGAGGCATTTAGAGAACAAAAGGACACTTGGCTTCTGGTTCTTTTGATAGGCTGGTTTGGAAGACTATAGCCCAGAACTGCAATGTCATACAGCAGCCAGTCTGGGAAGTCTGAGCAGCACTGTCACATGAAGTCCCTGACAGATCCAGTCCACTTTAGTCATCTAAGCACCATCACATTTCATATGTGAAAGTTAGAACATTCTGCTAATAAGGAAGCAGAAGGGTCAAGGAAAATCATCACTGCCTGCTGCTGTAAGTGCCACTCCTCTCTGAGATAAATGCCCTGATGCTACCATTTGAGCTGTAAATCTATGAGGCATCCCAGGAGATGCCACACATTTATGAGAGATGACAACAGACAGGTGTTGAGTACTTCACCAGAAAGCCTCAAGACATCCGGTTTGCTAGAGACACTAAATCCTGGGACTCCCTTTCTTGTGGGCTGACAGAGCTGTGCTGATACATCTCAGGAGCTATTTTCATGGGCCATAGAAAAATCTTCATCCAAGTCTACACCAGAGGCATCGACAGATGAAGCCACCCATGCAGGTATCCCTAAAGGGCTGACCTGATCTGCATGTCACTCCTAATTTCCCAAAACACAGCAGGACTGAAGGCAGAGGGGTCCACCCTTGGCCTTCACGGTCATCTCAGCAAGGCCAACCAGAGACTGAACAGATGCTTTGTGATACAGCCAGAACTAGTCCTGGGACTGCCACACAGACGTGAAAATCTGACCATAATCCTCAGGAAGTGGAGAACATTTCCATAAGGAAGAGATATTGTAACAAAAGAGGCAAAGAAAGTCATGAAGGCAAGAGTAGGACATTAACAACGACGAAGCAGGGGATGGGATGGACGGTCTTTACTGAGAATTATCTAAAAATGGTGAAGAGAAGCTCAGGAAATGGTTGCTTGGACAGCCATGGTTTTTTTCTTTCTGGTCTCTTTTCCAGAATTTCTCTATGTGGAAATTTCTCTCATTTAATGATGTCAACAGACCAGTAGGTAGCCCTCTTTGGAGAGTTTTTTTGCAGTTTGAGGATGGGATAATTTGCCAGATGCCCAGTTATCCCTTTGAAGACATGCAGATAGAATCTAGTGCGATGGGACTCGCTCCCCTGAAATGTTTTACTCTGGCACCAGGATAAAATCAGGGAGTGCAACGTACAAGCCACCCAGACCAGAAGTTATGATGATGTCCAGGCTCTGGCAGGGGGAGCAGATGAGCTCTGGGCAAGAAAACACCTTTTTTCTGAAAACGTATGAAGAGCTATTATAATCATTCTTCTCATCAAAACATTTTTGCTCTAGGTAAAACTGCTAAGCCTTTCTCAGAGCTTATAGAATGAACCAGGATAAAATCAGGGAGTGCAACGTACAAGCCACCCAGACCAGAAGTTATGATGATGTCCAGGCTCTGCAGGGGGAGCAGATGAGCTCTGGGCAAGAAAACACCTTTTTTCTGAAAACGTATGAAGAGCTATTATAATCATTCGTCTCATCAAAACATTTTTGCTCTAGGTAAAACTGCTAAGCCTTTCTCAGAGCTTATAGAATGAAATTGGCCACAACCCAAGCCTTCTTTTGCACTCTTCTGGACTTATGGTCTTCATCTCTGAGTGAGACAAACAGGAAGGAATGGAACTCCTGAGTCCCAGGGGCAGCATTCACTTGAAAGTCAATTATCTCCAAACTGAGACAGTCACCATAAGGACACTTTTGGAAAACGGAGTGAGGTGTCTGCTTTCCTGGCAGTAAACCCATTACTTCCACTTATAATAATAATTTTCTTAATACTCCTTAATGTTCCCTGATAAATCAGCTCCTCCTCTAACCAGGTCTAAATCAGAATGATCAGGGAAAGATATACAAGGCCAAGCAGAATGAGATCTGCAGCTGCTTAAGAATAGATGATAATTAATCCTTCTTTTCTCCCTTCCCCAATCCCAAAGGGTCCATGACTTTTGGGAAATACTACACCCAACCCATAATAGCACTCAGGAAAGTGCCACAGGAGAAAGCACTGTAGTGAGGATGTGCACTTAACTACAGTCCCCGTAACATGGAGGAAGGTGTGATATGAAGGGAGTTTATAATAAACTAGATTGAATGATGGCAGTGTGTTCACATGCAGAAACTAATATTAGTGCCTGGAGACAGGCAGTCAACTTTGAAATATTGAACAGCATTAAATATTTATAGCCATAACCTGAACACATGAGTTATGTGTTCTGAATAATTATCATTTCTGAAAGACTAAGAGGACAGATTTGCCAAAAATACCGTCTATAGGAGCATCATATTCTGCATTTACAGTACTACAATATCAAAGTTCCACTCAGAGAAGAGACAAAAGCTACTTTTTAAAAAAGTATTTATAGATTAGATCTTTGAACCACATCTGAAGTATACTTTTTTTTTAAAATTTCACTGTGTATCACTTAATCAACATGAATCAGGTAGAAAATGATAGGTGTGATCATAACGAGGGTCTTGGGGTGTAGCAATTAAAAATCTAAGGATTAACATTTAGTTTCAGTTTTCAAACTAAGTCCCACATTACCCAAACTGAAGCAAGTAGTTGGATAAATTTCAAAGGCTGAATGCTATGGACCTTAAAAAGTCATTAAACCATTTGCACCAAATCATTCTAATCTCATAAATTTAATGCTCTATAAAAGTAACATAGATATGTTTAGCAATTTGGGAAAACCAATGAGAGATGTCATTTGCATTGCTTTTGAGATGAAATCTGATGTGATAATATATCAAGACCCATCATTATAAAATAGTGAGCAACAAGATGAGTTGAGCTGGAAAGGAAAGGGCTGAGTGGGTTTTTAGATCACTAACTCTGTGACATTATGGTCCAAAGCCACATCGACCCCATAAACGTCAAAAAAATTGTCATCATTTCAAAATGCCTGGCCTGGGAATTGGGGCAATTGACTCTATCAGTATAATTACCTGGATGTGACTTTGATCAGCACCAACAAGAGAATAAGATCGAGTTTTAGGAAATAATAAGAATTTGTTCATCCACTCCCAACACAGCTTGCATGCTCATCCTAAAATGACACTATTGCTAAGTCACGTCTACCACTATTGACCTATTCTTTAATCTAACTAAAAGACTAATTAGTTTAGCATGTCTGGTTATTAAATTGTAATGGTGAGTTAAACTGTAATGCTTTCAAAACTAAAGACTGGCTAGTGGTCAGGTAGGCTATACCTCTTGCTTCTCTGGTCGAGTCCACGAAGCCTGGAGAGAACAAGATATAAAACACAACAAGAAAGCAGTAAAATTTTACAACATGTTGCTTTAGAGAATTGTTGCATCAAACTGCGTTCCGTGCACATGCAGCTTCTTTTTAATCCAGAACTTTTTCCAAGGCCCACTTTCAATGGTGTGTTTATTACCCAATTTAACTTAGGATTTAGCTTATGTTCAGACTTTCTCCCCCCTTATGCACATTAAAATGTATAATTCAAAGATAAAGTCTTTCCTAATCTTTGGTAGACATATATATGAATACCAGCAGACACGTTACATTACTCCTGCTCCAAAACATCTTAAAATATTCCTTGTAGTATTTGGTGACACTACCAGTTCTAACCACATATCTTGATGTACTTAGTAGGTTTCTTTTTGTGGACTTTATTAGACAGCTTATCACCGATATACTAATGCTGTTTTATGCTCATGCATTTTATAGCTCTTCACATGCACTCTATTAAAAATTAAATTTTTATTTTTAAAAAGGGAACAAAGCAAGGAGCAGAGAGGTATGTCAGGAATGAAGTATGAAGTCCTTGAGACTATGGATTGGGAAGCTTTGAGGATATCAAATGCTGAGTGGTTGTGGTAGGACTTCCAGTCCTTCAAGGCAGAGAAGGCACAGATGGCATGCGAGCTCAGGCATGTACCATTTTCATCAAACACAGTATTCACAAGGAGTGAGCCAACTCAGGGACATTGGGGGGTTTTCCACCCACATCTATATGTGTGTGTGTGTGTGTGTGTGTGTGTGTGTGTGTGTGTGTGTGTGTGTATATATTTTTAAAAAATTTGTCTGGCACTTGGGAATCTACTCTGCTTACAGTTTTTCTGTTTTCATATCGAGATCAAAGACATCATAGCTGTTTTTTTTTTAATTAGGTGGCATGACTGTTTGATTGTCCCTGATGTTCAGATGGAAAAAGGATAGAAAAGATGCTAGAAACACAGCAATGAAATCCAGGGAATGCAAGTGAGTCAGCAAACATTTAGTAAGAGCCCACTAAACGCAAAGAGCTTTTGTGAGAAATGAGGATGGAATATTGGGTTATGTCACGTGATGTTGGAACGAAGAAGAAAAAGAGAACAGAGGAACATGCATAGACAAAAGGAACAGTGGGCCAACATGTCAAATGTGGCTGCCAATTCCACACTACTTAGAAGCTTGTCTGTCACATGCCAGGGCTGTATGAATCAAGATCTCTTTTAAGGGCTATATAATATGGAGTTGTTTGTTTTTCAAATCTGATTCTTCTTGTGTCTCCCAAATCACTATGGTTCTGTGGCTTTTAGAAGTAATTGCCAGAAATGCAATGCTTCTAGTAGCCTGACCTCCTACATGTGTGCCTGGTGGAATGACAGAAAACATCTTGTACCTAATAACTTGGAGAAGGTGTGGCCCACTTTAAGACAACCCGATACACAAATATACACACTTATGAAACAAACTAGGGTATTATTAGTAATACTCCAAAGTTGTTAGTTCTACGTTCTTTTAATATTCACATGTTTAGTTGTCTTACACACAAGCCCGCCAGAATATGTATATAAACTAAAGTGAAGCTGATACACAAATATACACACTTATGAAACAAACTAGGGTATTATTAGTAATACTCCAAAGTTGTTAGTTCTACCTTCTTTTAATACTCACATGTTTAGTTGTCTTACACACAAGCCCGCCAGAATATGTATATAAACTAAAGTGAAGCATCCCCTATAATTATCTCAAGCACTGGGTTTGTACTGAATGAGGAATTCCTCCTGTCATACATTTGCCCACACCCTGGATAAACCAGGAACTGATTGTCCGATGAAGTCACTTTTTCCAATGTTTAAAAGTGGGCACTTAGTTTGTGTCGAATGAAGAATTTTCCCAGGTGAAAAGAAAGTTCCAGCTTCCAAAGAATCCAGAATTTCAAAAGGTCTGTCTTTATTTGTGGGATATTCTGTCAGCCCAAGATTCAAGGTTCACAAAATACCTTTCATTTTTCCTCTCTCTTCCCATCTCACCCCTCTCCTTTTCCTTCATCAGTAAGCCTTCATAAGCCTTTCTTTACCAGTTATTTCAGAGGCACAGAGATGTTCAAATAAGCATATGATGACTTATTTCTGCCAGAGATAGAGTATGCAAATCATCATCGCGGGTCTCACTCGGTATGTAAATGGTGCCTGGAATTTAGCACTCAAACACCTGGCAATATTTGAAATGAATCAGGGTAGGATGAATAGTGAAACAACGCAGATGCACAAACTTTCTGAAGTATCACAATGACCTTCATACACATGATCAAACTGACCCAATATGATGGTCAAATATATATTTTTTGCCAACATAATAGTGACCACTAAGAAATGGACAGACTGTTAGACAATTGGTCCGCTTTAATGATGTCAATTACCCAAATAATTAGACTTAGCCTAGTTATTATCAGTTGCTGAACTAAACTAACTCAACTAGCTGAAGCTCAACAGATTGATAATGATCATTCTCAAATGAGTGATTAGACTCAATCCAGGGACATGACAAAGATAGGATGTGACATTTGGGTTCATTGTACTGGTTTTTGCTTGTCCCTCAGCCCACTTCTTTTTTTAATGAAGAACACTGGTATTCCACTAGAAAGTCACTAACTATGTGTCTGTGGTTAAAAGCCTTTTCCTCCTCTTCCCTTAAGAAGGGCAATACTAGATTCAACTAAGCAGTGAAGCAAAAGACAAAGTTGCTTTAATTACCTTATATTGTAACTATTTTCATTAAGGGAATAGTTGAACCTCCCACAAGTCATGAAAATCATAAGAGAGCCCATGGCCCCATGGTAAACAGGAGGAAGCCATGGTGGCAGTCTAAGGGCTCTGTACTTTACCTCGTCCTAGTTGACATTTTTATCAGTGACTTGAACAAAAACATTTCAAATAAGTGATCATTCAAGGTTGGAAGCGACAGCTAATACAGATGTCAGCTGACAATTGCATTGTGAAGGCTACTGAAGCCACGTAAGATTCCTTGGGCTCTATGCTTAGGGCTGGGGAACCACTGACTGCAATACCTCATGACTTTTCATATACTTATATAAAATAGGGGGGCCCACGTGCATTGAAATTCTCTGGACCCACAGACTTCTAAGGATACTTCTGATGAAAGTCAGTCCTAACTGGTTGGAAAGATATGCTCAAACAGTTGTTCTCAAGCCAGAGGGTGTTTGTACATGTGGCATTTTTAGTAATGATTAGAGGTACCTATTGGCATTTCAGGGGTATGGGACCAGCGATGATAAATATTTTGCAATGCATAGGACAGTCCCAGTGAAGGAAGATTCTTCCCAAATTGCCATAGTGACTGTGTTGAGAAACACTGGGCTTCAATAAACAAAATACAATTTTTAACAGAAATAAATACAAATTCTGCATTACCAGTTAAGCAATCAGTTGCTTAAGATCAGGATAGGGGATATGTGGCTTAAATGCAGTTCATGTGAAAAAGACCTGAGCATTTCAGTTGACCACAGGCTCAATATGAGGCAATAGAATGAGGAAACTACTAAAGAGCTAATGCAACTTTACCTGCATGATGGTGGCCAGATCAAAAAGGCAATATCCCTACTGAAGTCTGTGTTAGCTACGCTGGGTTCGTAAAAATTTTAGGGGAGCACTAGTGAATTGTGGCTATCTATTATAGGTCAACAAGAAGGGTAAAGGATGTGAAAACCATGACATGTGAGAAACAGTGAAAATAGCTGTTTGTGTTAAGGGGAAGAGAAGACCAAAGGAAAACAGAAGAGCTACTTTAATGGCTCCCATACAAAGGACTGAGTGGCAGAGGTGGGACTGAGCAGAGGAAGGGGCAAAGAAGCAGCCCTTTCTGATTATCAGTGTGGGCCAATGCCCTGCAGAGGACTGACACCATCACCCTTCATACAGGGGTCAAATGACTTCCTGGCCAGGATGCTAGAAATGGGTGCCAGGTGAGACCAGATAACCTCAAAATGTGCCTCCCAACCATCTATGATTCTGGTATTTTACATGGTGTAAATCTCAGGAGGCTTCTTTACCTTGCCAATGAGATACAACTCTCTTAGCATATATCCTGATTTTAAGAAAACTGTTTTCTTCCACTCCTACAATTCAGCGATACTAGTAATCTTGATACCTATTTATATATAATGCAACTGTAGATGGGGGAGGACATGAGGAGAGGCTGCCAAAGTCCAAATTTATTATCTGGAATCTGACCTGTTCATGAGTAGCCCCTATTTGTTTTCTCAATTATTAGCTATCCACAGTGTGGATAACTATCCATTATGCCTCTTTGATGTCTTTATATAATTAATAGAATTGCCACATTTTCTTATACAGGTTTTCATTTAGACAAATGTGTTAACCTGGTGTCACGTCACTGGCTGACATGGAGGACTTGTTCTAACATTGATTCACTCATATTCCAATAATGTCACTTCAATTAAATTTGAAGGTTGTCCATAGTCAAACAAACCACAATACAACCAATGTGGCTGGGCTTCAATAATTATCTCAGATTAAGATAGATGATCTGTGCTAATAACTGCATTATACAAAAAGTGAGTCCCTACTACTTCAAAGGGTCTCTGCTAGACACCTTCATTCTCAGTATTTAGCAAGTGTGAGTATGTATTAGTGCCTGGCTATTTGTTCTCATTCTATAAAAATGAAATCTCAAATATAAGCCAGAAGTGCCAACCTATTAAAGAACCTGAGGTAGGCACAAATCTTAATAACCCTCTGGTCTAGCTTGGCTATTGAACTATTCCTAGAAAAGATATAGAATTTAAAAGCATCATTCATCTGAGATAGATATTATTTCTGTCCTTTGCTGTAGGTCAAAGATAAACACCAGGTCACCCTGGACAAATCTACTTTTATGCCTGATCTAGAAAGATCCACCAAGCAGCGGCCCTCTGATTTAAGCCCTGAAATGTACATTCAATCCACATAACAACACAATGGGAGCAGAAATTTTAGCTGAGGGTTTTTAATCCCAATGTTGATAAAGAAAGTATCCAAATAAACACATTTCTTAATCGAGTTGGTTTTCATGTGTCAAACAGCATATGCAAGTTTCAAAAATATTTAGCAGTTCCTCATTGAGAATCCAAGTCTGGAGATAAAACTTGCAAAAAATAATAGGTTATTTGGAAGAACAATTTCTGTTCCTTTTGATTTAGTTTTTTTTTTCTATTAGTGGGACAGAAATCAATTCCTCAAATGCAAATCCCAAATTTAGCTCTGGTATTTCACACTATCCTTTTTTGGCTTTATTTGAATTTACCCTCTCTACGGATTTTCTTTAGGCAGGCAAAAGAGTGAAGATCTATCATTTTTGACTTTCTAATCAATAAGCAATCCATTATAAATGTACTTTTTTTTTTTTCCTTTTTGTCTTTTTTTACTGACCGGCAACGGGATCGCAACCCTCGGTGTTGTGCCCACACCGCGCTCAGCCAGTGAGCGGGAACCGGTCTCCACATGGGATCTGAACCCTCAGCGGGAGCGCCACCGTGCTCCCAAGTGGCGCACTCTCCAGTGCTCCACCGGGCCGGCCTGTTATTATAAATGTTCTTTAAGGCTAAGGCCATTACTCCTGAATAGGTGACAAAGGTTTGGCCAACTAAAATGAAGCCTATTACTACAGGATATACATGATGGTATTGGAGAAGAACTGCCAGAGGGTTAAGTTGCTTTAAAATCAAGCCTTTTCCTCCTCCTGCTTTTTTCTGATCCACCAATAGCAAGGGGCTGCATCACGTGGGCTCACCTCAATTTTTATATATTGTCAATAATAAAGATAGCTTTCTGGTGACCATAAAGTCCATATTCTTTAAAGCGAAATTTACCAGGAAGGTTGCTGCAATGTTCTTAAACCCTCAGTGAATATATTGCAGAACCCAGGTATAATCATCATCATTTAGAAACTGCTAATTATTTTTGCCTTTAGAGCAAAATGATTTCCAAATGTGACCAGGAATACAGGCAGACACAAAGGCAACCAAGCTCTTGTGCATATAGTGCATAGATAGCATGACTATACAAAATGCAAGGAAGAGAATTAATAGGCTCATTTTGATTCCTATTATTTCTGAGAGACATTTCCTTGGGTGCTCCTGAGATGATGACAATATCACCTAGTGCACCAGGATCTTGGTTTCTCCTTGCTCCTCACAGCTCCATAACCCTGGGTTTGAAAATCACTATAACCTCCTCCCCAGAACATCTAACTTGACCACGCCCACTAACATCACACCCCTGCCAACCTATACAAATAATTGTGTCCGTTCCATTGCAAGGGGATGTTGAACAGGCCACATCTGGGCAGGCTGGGGGAGGGAGGTCACAGACCTGGCTGTGGCCTTCGATGACCACATCCCATCTTTCGGTTCACCAAAGAGAACTGGGCATGGGGTAGACTGAAATTGCTTCAAGTCTGTGTTCCATGGATCTGGGCAGGCTGGGGGAGGGAGGTCACAGACCTGGCTGTGGCCTTCGATGACCACATCCCATCTTTTGGTTCACCAAAGAGAACTGGGCATGGGGTAGACTGAAATTGCTTCAAGTCTGTGTTCCATGGCCCTGAAACTCTTGGGTGATATTATACCTTTTCTTCGCTGCTGATGTTTCGGGTGGAAGTTCTCCAAGTGATGGAGGGAATGGGGTCTCCCGAGGCTTCACAGGTAAGAGTGACCTGCTCCTCGAGTTCCATGGCAGTCTGGTTCTCTACGTAAGTGATTTTGGGTTTTGCTGAAAAGACAAAACATTTCTATGAGTTGATCTGATTATTTAGCTTTCTGGGTTTAAATGATGACCTGCACCCACTCAACAAAAGCTATCTATTTACTAAGTACAAGGTCCTATTCTAGATGTTTTGGGAGACCCCAGGGGCTTACAATGTATTAGGCATATGAACAACACAGAAACCATAATAATAAGTTTAAAAACATATCCTATAGAGTAAGAGTGCTAAGGGCAATGGATACAGCCGGCCTGATGCAGAAGAAGGGCACTTCCCAGGTTGGAGCCTTTGGAAGGGGACAGTTCTGGGGCTGGACCATGAGATTTTCAGCAGGTGGAACTTTGGGGTGGAGACAGAGTAACCCAAGTGTACAAAACTGCTTAAGTAAAAGCAGAGAAGCAAGAACATGTGAAGAGAGGGTTGGGAACAGAGTAGAATGCCATGAGGCAAACTAAGGAAGACAAGGCTGGACACATGGCCTTTATGCACTGGCTGGTGGAGGCCCACAGACAGTTTGATTAGGGCAATGAAATCATTTGTATTTCAAGAAGGTTAATACAGGAAAAATTCAAGATGATTTGAATAGAGAAAACCTCGAGGTAGGAAAACCAATTTGGAAGCTCCCTCAGTGACCCAGATGTGAGGTAACATTGAGAATGAGCGGCGTTGAGAGAGAGCCTGAAGGAGGGTGTAGAGGAAGTGGCAGATGAACAGAGGGCAGTTGGGATGGAAAGAGACAAAGGAAGGATAAGGAGGAGTCCAGATGACTCAGACTCTTAACTACCAGAAGGATGGTGTTAGCATTGACTCAAGTGAGGAAATCAGGCGAGGAACTGGGTGGGGGTTGGGGGGTGGGCTGACGAGGGGAAGGAGATGAGATTAGAGGAGTTCATTTTCCAAATGTTTTGGGTAATGCAAGAAAGCACAAGCATTCCCAAGCTGAGTTAAATGTTAAAACATTAGAGAAAATTGAATTTTCCCAATTTAAAACAATTATACTCTGAAATTGCTGAACTTTCCATAGAAGGGAAAAGCTAACACTACACAAATGTAACTTATTTCACCAATACAGAAAAAGACCAGATTAGATAAACGAACAACAAACAGGAAACCAGAATTATGGCTAAATTTTTAAAAATTATTTTTTAATTGAAATGTGTAGATTGCACATATTTATGGGATATGGAGTTATATTTCGATGCATGTACTAATTTTTGAAATAACTACATTTCCTTTATATTCAAATTCATACAGTAACCCCAAGTAGTTTAATAAGCTACTGTCTGTATATATCCTCCATATGTATATATCCTCCAAATTAAGGTCCTTGATTATGCTTTAATAAACAGAAAATAATGGTAGAGCTCTAAATATTTTTTTGTAGCAAATGCCTTCTTCTATATAAAATCGCCTATTTAGTTCAAATATTCTCCTAAAGTTAATCTGTACTAACAGGCTGCTTAGCAAATCCTTTTGTGACAGAGCACATAGACAATCTCAATCCAGTGTGGCCAAAGATCACAAATTTGAGTTGAGAGTCCACATGAATGAGGTTTTCCTATAGGAAGACTTTATTTCTACCTTAATAAATACAACTTTCAAGGAGGTTATGACTCGTACTGGATGGAGTAAGTATTAAGTGCTATTGCATAGGTCTTAGAGAGTAAAAAAACATAAAAAGAAAGGTAAAATAAAATAAACACACAAAATAAAAAGGTAAATAAAATAGGGTAAAAGTTAAATTTCTATACTGTCAAAATCACAGAATAAAAAGTAAAGGAAAAAAAAACTCAGCCAAATTCTGCTAAAACTAAATTCACTACCCTAAAAAGTTGTTTTCAGGGCAAAATAAAAAGGTAAATAAAATAAAGTAAAAGTTAAATTTCTATACTGTCAAAATCACAGAATAAAAAGTAAAGGAAAAAAAACTCAGCCAAATTCTGCTAAAACTAAATTCACTACCCTAAAAAGTTGTTTTCAGGGTCTGGAGACAGTCCCAGGAAGGCTGAATTTCTGGCTTCTTGAAACCTAGTCAGACTCTGAGATCTAGATAGTGTTCTGCTTGCCTTTTCCTGACCCACAGCACTTTGTCTTGACAGCAAAAGGTTAACAGAAAACAGAGCTCAGTTAATGTCTATTAATATTTGGTCTCGGTGACCCCATTTCCCAGATGGTTACAAAGGGTGCTTTGAATAAGTCCTTAGAAAAAGGCAAACTATATTCGTATTAAAAACATTATTACCAATGGCTACTGTTGTATAGTCTGCAGAGGGCTGTTGGACGGAAGGCAAGCTTCTCACTGATTGCTCAATCCTCTCTTGCTGCACTATCGTCAGAACTAACTCTGAAGGTTTAGAATACTGCTTTAGAAAAAGGATAGCAATACAGTTTATTGTCTAAATTGGGTCACTCTTGAGAGTGACAAGGGGTGCTCTAAGTAATTACACTGGGACAATGGGCATTAGTGGGCAAACAGGGGCAGATGCAGGGTCACCCTACTTATAAAAGACTCCCCCCCCCCCACTGCATTCCAGCATCTGGAGGAATGTCTCCAGGTTTTATCTTCCAATAGTCCTTGCTCCATCTTACTTAACTTCTGCTGTGGGCCCTTGGCTTTTGGATCCCTGTTCTAATCCCCACGTGCCTCCACGGGACAGTGTCTCAGACTGTTCCACTGCACCTTTCTCCATGGACCCTCCTGCGCATGCCTGCTTTCCTCTTTTAGCATGCCCATTACTCTGTAGTCTGCCTTTTTACTCCCAGCCCAGTCCAGGCTCCTGCAACCCTAGCCCAAGGAGATCCCGGGGAACCCTGCTTCCCTGAACAGAGAGGCTGGCTGGACAGCATGCCAGGGGTTTCATCAGGGGCACCTTCTTTCAGGCCTCTCCTTGTCTCTTTCTGTAATCCACAAGGGCTGCTTTAGTCACAAGGGGTCAGTTAAGCAAGGCTTCTGCCCCCTGGTGAGCCTGCCTCAGCCCATAGCAGCATGAGAACTCAAGAGCATTAGCATGAGCACAATAAAAATCTGTGGAGACAAAAATACTTCTTCAGATGGTCTCATGGGGAGAGGAGCAATGGAAAATTCATTGCCAAATGTAAAGGAAAGTCGGAGGCAAGTACTTATCAAAAAGAGCTTCTAGCTGATAACTAGGGCAATACATGCTAGAACATGCCCTTTTCTTAGGAAAAAATGATGTCACTTAGGTACAATTACAGCAGTCCCTAATTTAGATATGTCCCGTACATACTGATTGCCGCCCCTTCTTGAAGCCACAGGAGTTCTGAGCTCTTCTTTACTACCTAAGCTTCGTGTTTCTTTCCTCTTCTATCTCAATGCTGGCGACCTTACCACTGCTGGGGAACCTGCCCTATTTCTCTGCCAGTGATGGTCTATGATGGCGAGCCTGAAGGGGAAGGAGAGGGACAGAAAGCATGGAGGGGACAGAGCCCTCACCAGCTGGCCCCTCCCCTCCTGGCTCCCTGGCTCCGTACCAGTCTCCTCAACCAACGGGGAAGGCCAGAGGAGGAGGAGGGAAAGGAAGTGGAGTGGAGAGGGAAAGACGGTGTACAGGAGGCACCAGGTTACCTCAAGGAGGCTACATGAATGCTCCTCAGGATAGCACAGAGGAGGGTGCCATTCTGCATTAGACACAGTCCCTACAAGTCTACGATTTCCTTCCCTGTGTCTCCAGGAGCCTGGCCACTTCTCTGTTTGCTCCACTGTGCAGTTTAGTGTACATTCTCCCAGCTGCAGCCTTGGGAAGGAAACTGGTGTGTGTGTGTGTGTGTGTGTGTGTGTGTGTAACATGCAGAGGTGTGCATGTGTTGAGGGTGAGAGAGGGAAGACAGAGCCTGTCCTGCCACTTCTCCCATTTTACTTTCCCTGCCTCGTCACCTCCTCTCAACCTGGCTCACTCCTCCTTCTACCATGGCCCCCATGGCCCTTCACTCCTACCCACGGCCATCACCACCAGAGAGGCCTGAAGAGAGGCCAAGTTCTTGACCAGTCAAGTCAGAGACAAGTGTGTTTCTCTAGAGAAACCATGACATGTGGTATTCCTAGTCATTTTCTATATAATTCAGATGCAGTATGTGTCCTGCTGAGTTTCATGGAGGGGTCACCATTGTTAGCTTAGGGTGTGAACTGCCTCCATCTGAACCATGGCTCCTAGGGAGGGGTACCCCATCTCTCTGTGCTCGGCTTCCTCGTTTGTAAAACAGAAATAATAATTAAATCTACCTTATGGGGTTGTGATGAGGAGTAAAAGAGCTCATTTACCAATAGCACTTCATATCGTGCTTGGTGCATTATAAGTGCTCAGTTTGTGTTGTGTACTATTATTATTATTTTATGGGGTTAGTGTCTAAAAGAATTTCTTAAAGATAAGTGATGATAGCATGGCTCATCTCCCTGCCACATATATTATGCTTCATTTGATGACTGTTCCTTCATTTATTGAAATTCTGGTGTCTATTATACTCCGGGCACTGTTCTAGGTGCTGGGCATATGTCTGTGAATAAAACAAACGCAAGCCCCTGTGCAAAGGACCTCACATTCAACCCAATATATGCTTTTCCTTCCTGTGACTGTGCACGTGTTGCTTGAAATGCTCATCCAACCCTTCTTCAACTGTATAATTCTTACTTAAGAAATGGCGCACTTTTCTAACTTACACGAATCATGCAGGACTAAGGAATCTTCTTTCCCTATAAAGCACTGTGCATATTGCTATTATAACATCATTATAATCGACTGTCATTTAAAATTTCAGCATTGATCATCTACATTAGCCTATGAACCTACTGATGAGAACAGAGTTTGTTATTCATCTTTGTAAACTTGGCAATGGCTGTGCCCATAGTAGTCACTCAAATGTTGTTGATGAATACTATCTGTTATAATTTAAGTGTATATGTTTATTTCACTCTCCTTGCTTCTCAGGGTCAAAGGACCATATCCTACTCACCTCAGTAGCCCCTCTATCTAGCAACAATGGCACTCAATAAATACATGTTAAATAAAGGAACAAATTAACAAATGCACCTGTCTTTTTCTATAATATGAACACAATAAAATCAGAGTGACTGGGGAAGATCAGTCTGAATTAGAGAAAAGACTGCCAAGAATATTTTTCATGAAGTTTAGCTTTCACTCTTAAGTACACAGTTAACTCGAACCAAACTGATAACTTGCTACTAAATTCAGTTATAATTAATGAATAAATAATGGCAGGTTATAACAACTTGATTTTCAAAGGTCTTTGTTCACAGACAGTTCTCCTGATCAGGCTATACAACTAAGTCCCCATCTGGTTCCCAGGTGTGCATTTTAACTACCTGGGAGCTACAGGTACCAAAGCTGCCCCCAGGCATCTGTACTCTAGGAGCACTGTCTACCATGGACCAGCTTATCTGTGTTTTTTAAACAGATGAGCAGAGTGAGCTGAGAACCAGTAGGTTAAACATTTCTTTGCAACTCATCTTTTTTCAAGGTCAGGTCAAAATGCATGTGAGTTCTGAAATGAATGGCACCTTATTGAGTCTACAAAGATGAAGTGAGCAGAGACGTGGGGTCCTTTTCGTGACTTTTTATGAAAGTTTCACGCAGGCCAGGGAGAGAAGCGAAGAAGACAAGGCAGCCAGCTGGGCAGTCACTAATATTTGCCAAGGGCCTACTATGCATCTAGCACTGTTTAGAGTGCCAGGGATAGAGCAATGTGTAAGACAGCCAGCGTTCTGACATCTTGGAGTTTACATGCTAGTGGAGGTGGGTGACGATCCCCAACATAAATATGTAAACGAAATCAGTTCAGGTACTGACAAGTGCAAAGAAGAAGATACAGTAAGGTTAATGGAAGAGATTAGTGGAGGTGGGGGGGGTGGTGGTAGTGGTGCTCGGGGAGCTGTGATGCCAGACAGTGAAGGAAGGATTCACTGAGAAGGTGATTTTGAGTTGAGATGTCCATGAGGATGAGAAGGCGGCAGCTCATGGAAGATCTGGGGGAGTGATATTCCAAGCAGAAGAAACAGCAAGTGCAATGTCCCTGAGATAAGGAACAAGCTTGGAGTGTCCAAGGGACAGAAAAAAGGCCTGTTGGTTGGTGATCTTTGCATGTGGAGCAAGGTGAAGGAAAGATGAGGTTGGAGAGGAAGGCACAAGCTAGCTCATGTTTGGTCTTGTAGGCCATGGTAGGGAGTATGGGTTTTATTCTGGTTGCAATGGGAAGCCACTGGAGGATTCTAAACAGATGAGTGGCACTTAGGTCACTCTGGCTATTGTGAGTAGGACGGACGCAAGGGGACCAAGAGAGGGATGCAGGGAGACCAGCTGGGAGGCTGATGCATTCTTGGACTGGGCCTTAGGTGGTGGAGGAGGCAAGAAATGGTTGCATTTGGGATGTATTCCGAGGTAGAGTAGACAGGGTCGTGCTGATGGACTGAGTGTGTAGAGTCAGGGGAATCGTTGCAGAGCACTGACCCCGAGTCCCACTGCCCTTACCAAAGACTTTGAGGTGGATGGACGCATCCTGCTCGCCAGCCTTGTTCTCAGCAATGCAGACGTACTCGGCCTCGTCGTTCTTGTCCACCTTCCTGATGGTCAGCTCAGAGCTGTCGTCGCTGAAGATGTACTTTTCATCATCCTCCTCGTTCTCTATCTGTTCCCCGTCCCTACAGGTGCAGAAATGCAAAGCACTATGAATCTGACCACAGAGTTCAGATGTTTATTTTTAATTAGTTTCCATAAAACGTAGACCGAGCCAATGGGAAAGACTCAGTCTTCACAAAAAGGTCAAGCGGTGATTCCACAGATACCGTTCCTTCCTCTACTTAATCCTACGACTCTGTCCATGGGCTATAAATTACACCCATAAAATTTCAAAGAGGGGACCCCCCCAGGGCCACACCTTCTGGTTTTGCCCCAACAAGACTGAAAATGAAGGAATAATCCAATGCACAAGGCAAGAGAACCTTACAGAAGGGCATACATTCTTCATCTGGAGTTGATGTTCCCAAGAAACCCACACCCATCCACTGAAACACCAACGTGGAGCAGGCACCAGGATTCCTCCCTCTCCTCTAGTCCATAATACAAGGCACAAGCCAGTTTCTTACTTTGTCCAGCTCATGGTGGGCTCTGGGAAGCCTTCAGCATCACACACCAGAGTGACTGACTGGCTGAGGTTGGCAGTGGCATTCACAATGCTCTGCCTGGCCTGGACGGTGGGTGGCACTGAAGGAAAGAAGAAGGTCAGGGATGGTTGCAAAAACTTGAAAGAACCCAATTGACTGGAGAAAAGACACCTCCAGGGAATCCCAGGTTGAGAGGCATCTCACCTGTGGGTCAAGAGTCCTGGGTGACTGCAGAGTTAGTGTAAGGAATCTAAATTCATGTGTGCATGAAATAAACTGAATAAGCAAATTCATCCACAAACATGCATTATTGTTTTTCAAGAGTTTAGGAGATATTATAATACATTTTACTCATGTTAACATGGTATTCCATTTACAGCAGCTATTTATCATTATATATTTTCTGAATCAACGCACACTAAAATTAACAACTACGAAGGTCAAGTGGAATTTGACATTAAAAAGGGGCTCTTGGTTCTGGAAAAAGTTGGAAACTACTGCTCCTGCTGGTGGTTAAGTGGTTAATACTAATTTGAAATGCAGCAGCTCACCAAAGAGTGACATTTCTTTGGGATTGTCATAAACAACCTTATGCACAAACTGTTTTTACCAAAGGAATGAGAGGGGGAGAGTTTGGCAAAAAATACACATCAACAGCCAAAACAATTCAACCATGATTTACTTATTTTCTTAGTACTGACATTATAATTTCCTGTAAACATCTTGTAAATGTCAGATCGATTCCACGGGTGTGTTTATTTGACACTGCAAATTAAGATTAATAAGCCCATGGACCATAATTCTGACTATTCAGAGGCCTGAATTGATTGTAATATTTTCTTTGAACATTGAACCAGGAGACTAACTTCACAATTATGGGAACATCAAGGACAAAGAGAATAAAGAAGAATTTACTAGTAAGCATGGGGAAAGTTTCCAGTGCTGCAAGACAATGAAGGACATTCAGGAACTGCACTAAAAGCCCCCAGAGTACAGGTGAAACCCGTAAGACAAGTGTATTTTTTAAAAAGAAAAAAAGAAAAACTCAGAGGTTAAGATGGTGGGGAGGGGATTTAGCTCAGACAGACAAATGACTCAGGACACGATTATTTTACAGACCAGAGAGGAATTTAAAGAGAATGACTTTGGGGAACTAAAGTCATAGCAGTGGAGAGAGCAGGCAGAATGGATCTCCTCACCATTCACAACGACCTGAATGTCCTTGAAGTTGATCTCCCCCCGTGCCAGGATTCTGCCCTCACAGCGATAAGTGCCCTCATCTGTTTTCTTGATGCCCCGGATCTGCAGGTAGTTGTTGGACAGGACTATGAATCGGACTAGAAGAGACAAGAGGCAGGTTCATCCAAGGATCAGTTAGAGAACTCTGGTATCTGCAGGTAGGTAACTGGGCCTCTTTCCTTTTTTCCTAACTTCAGTCTTATGGGGTGGGACTTTAAACTAAAATAAGAATATGTGTGCCTAGCTTTGAGATAAAGCCAAAAGCAAAAGTCTACTGGAAATTTGTCTTTTACTTTGGAGAGAAAATCAAGTGCCTAAATATTCCAGCTACAGACACGCAACCACTCAGGGCCTGGAAACTGCATGGGGGTTTTTAGGACACTTCAATCTGAGTTTGGAGTAGATGCCTCATGGGCTACAAGAAGTGGGAAACCCAGGAAACATGGCGGCCCAGGGGAAAAGCACCTGCCAGGAAAGTCAGGTCTCACCATCTTTTTTCAGGATGACATCTCGGCCTTTGTGTTTCCAGATGATGGTGGGGGGCAGAGAGCTGACCACGTCACATACGATCACGGCATCTTCCCCCTCCCGGAACTCCTGTGGGGTGGGTGCATTCTTGAACATGAGCTTCTCTGGAAAATAAGCAGGAGAAGAGTGAGGGAAAACAGCTGGTTCTCCCACCGAGATCCCTTTTCACTAGAGCCATGCTGCCTGGACTTGAGTCCTGGGTCAGTCCCAGTCCTCATATACAGATGTATGAGAGGGGTACTTGGCCATGGATGCCAGGTGGAGCAGCTGGCACAAGCAGTGGAATCTGTTGTCAATGCCTGGCAACCAGTATCTACTCACTGACAGCTAAATTTATCACACTTTGTGCAGAAAAGGGTCTACAGAACAGAAAGAGTGTCTTCACCGTATGGGATGATGACAATACAACATAAAGCATAGGTAGGACGAAGAGGCAGAACACCTATCCTACAACAAATAGGAGTCACCAGTCTTTCTTTATCTCCCACTCTGTCCCTTTTCCCCAGCTCCACCCCCCCAGCTAAATTTATCACACTTTGTGCAGAAAAGGGTCTACAGAACAGAAAGAGTGTCTTCACTGTATGGGATGATGACAATACAACATAAAGCATAGGTAGGACGAAGAGGCAGAACACCTATCCTACAACGAATAGGAGTCACCAGTCTTTCTTTATCTCCCACTCTGTCCCTTTTCCCCAGCTCCACCCCCCACTTTCCTAGGGCAGAGAAAATTCTGAAGAACAGAAGAAAAGCACACATAATGACAATAAATACTAGAGCAGTCAGTACTGTTTCATTAGCTGTCACCCACCAGTACTCTGTCCAACGGGACAGATGCATGATAACAAGGTAATGAGAAGCCACCTCCAGATGGGGCCTCAGTGGCAATGGGAACTACCTGCTCTTAGTGGCAGATCGTGTTCAGACAATAAATAATCCCCTACCCCACTGAGCCTCTGGGCTCCATTACCAGCAGGGGAGAGTGAAGTAAGAAGGGAAGGCCTGAACAGGGGAAAGGACAGAGGAACCCATAACAGCCCTCTAGAAACCGTGCAATGAGAGCTTAGAGACAGGAGGCCAGCGGGGGACAACTGTGGCCAGCGTGAACCAGGGCTGTGAGTTGCAAGTCGGCCAAGGATCATTTACAAGGGTGTCGGAGCTCTGAGCTAGGGCAGAAAAGACTTAGGGAAGGAAAAAGGAAGCTGTCAGGCCCTCAGCTGGTCCATCTATTGCCATCTCACCCCTTATAGGACCCACGTATCTCTCTTTATTGTATTTTTTTCTCAGTTTTCTTTTCTTTCTTTCTTTCTCTTTTTTTTTTTTTTTGATTGAAACATAATTGACAAGAGAATACAGAAGCAGAAGGAGGCTCTTACGGAAGATTTTCACGTTGACAGTGGCCTCCGACTCGCTGCCGTCCTCGCCAGTGACCACACACTTGTAAATGCCGGCGTCATCAATGTTGGCATTGTAGATGGTGAGGGTGGAGGAAGAATCGTCATTCCACACCACTGAGATCCGCTGCTGGTTTGGGGTGAGCTTTTCTCCGTTGGGCGAGAACCAGGAGATGTCTTTATCTTTGGCATCTCCTGCCACTAAGGAGAAAGAGATTATTTTCAAATCACTGAAATTGAAAAGACTAAATCCCTTCTAAGTGACAGTGGCCACTCAGTAAGAGCTACTGAACAACAGATCAATCCAGGCTTGATCGTCAGGGAGGGATGACCGTTTATGTTAGAATGTTATGCAGCCCTACTCTGGCCTCTGTGTTGGTTATTATATACATAATACCTCTTACAGTATTTGAAAAGAACTCAATAACTACTGAGTGATGGAAGAAGAGAATATGTGTTGAGGACCTACTGTGTGCCGGGCACTAAGCTAGGAACTTACATGCCTCACAGAATGGGAACAAAGGGATTACCATATCTAGGATTGGAGTTTAGGGGCCTAGTTGGTCTGAGCCAACTAATCAGCTTGTTTTTGAAGGCTTAGATTATGGTCTCCTGAGCTGAAGATGAGATACTGGCTAGTTAGTCTAAGAGCGCAGTTCCAACCACTTTTATTCTAGCATCTGCCTGCACAAGCTGGCATGACTGTCATTTCAGCACCCCCTGCCTTGGATGGGCAAATTCACCTCCTCACATGCTGCAAAGAAGGTAGCGAGAATCAACCATGCCTCCATTCCCTGGGCACCTAAGAAGGGCAGACTTGCTGTGCTGAGCTGCCCCAGACACTGAGCTGGAACAGGGGGATGGGCTCTTGGATCCGGAGGACGTGGCTTCGCCCTGCCTCTTTGCATGGCGCCTTTCTTAGCCTACCCCACACAGCCCTGCACAGATGCTTAGTATGGAAATGAGGTGGTCTTCCTTTCAGGACCCATCATGATTTCAATAAATATCGCCATTTGCAAGATGTGCTGTGGATTCCACAGCTCCAGATCACTGAAATTGCTGTAATGAAGGCAGAGCTGGAGCGAACACATCCGGCGGCCACAGCCACCTCATCTGACGCAAATCATGACTACGTTTAGAGGCCTCTCCCTGCCAAAAGCTGCTTGCTAAATGTCACAGTCTGCATCTAGCTCAGCTCTTTCTTAATTCTTCCACGTTCTGAATCTCAGTCATGTCACAGACAGAGAATCCAAGGCCTGATTTGAAGCCCTTTCCTCTACATGGCATTTCCTGATAATTATCTGAGCTGTGGAAATGGGGCATATTTTCTAAACAAAAGACAAGGACACCAGGTCCAACATATCCCAGAGCTTTGGTGGTGGCCATGGGGCAGAACATTGGTATTCACAATAGACCTGGAAAACCCAGGATATATGTTCTCACAACCAAAGAGATACCGGTTTCAATGTACTTTCAGACAAGGTTTAGACCTTCTTGGACTTCCAAGCTCTGGGGGATTCTAAGAAATCAGCCTCAAATGGACCCACTGAAGCATTACTTCTGAGCCAGTGCTGTTCTCCATGGTCATTTACAGAACTCTGTGTTATACAGAGCAGGAGATCTGGGATGATTCACTATTCTGGGAGCTGTGCTGATTTCCCTAAGAAAACGCCTAGACCTCCTCCATTGCAGGCAGTGTAGATGACACATTTCCCTACAGGTGGGCAGCCTTTGAGAGGGGAAGGAAGAGAGCCTGAGAGTTGCCCTGGCCCTTCAATGATCACGCTGTAGACCCTGCAACCCCACAAATTCTAGTTGTGGTGCGATCAGCCCAATGGCCTCTGCTCTGCCCAATGAGTTTCCGAAGCAAGTTCTGAAATGCAGAGGGTCACAGTGCACTTGCCTTGGCATAAGAAGAATTTGGACTCTCCAACGCTGATTTCCCCTTGGCTGGGAACAATATCCACCTGCAGAGAAACTGAAAAAGACAAAATCCGATTCAAACATACATTCGAATTTTTGAGAATTAAATCTCGAGCTTTCATTCAAAAACAGGGTCCTCCAGCTCACTTTAAGAAAGAGTAAAGAGGAGGTTGTTGGGGTTGTGAGAACTTGTCACCACCAAAGTGTACTCACATTGCAACCGGGAGTGGACACGGCCCAGACCATTCCCCTACAGAAATGCTATCCTCTTTCAGATACTGCAATGTGCCTGGGAGATTCAGGGTGACCTCCTCCCTCAATGTTTCTTTTTTTTTTTTTTCCTTTTGTCTTTTTTCGTGACCGGCAACGGATCGCAACCCTCAGTGTTGTGCCTGGGAGATTCAGGGTGACCTCCTCCCTCAATGTTTCTTTTTTTTTTTTTTTCCTTTTGTCTTTTTTCGTGACCGGCAACGGATCGCAACCCTCAGTGTCGCGCCCGTACGGTGTTGCTCCCGCACCTCGCTCAGCCAGTGAGCGGCCGGTCTGTATGTGGGATCCGAACCCTCGGCGGGAGCGCCGCCGCGCTTCCCAAGCGGTGCACTGTAGCAGTGCGCCACTGGGCCGGCCCCTCCCTCAATGTTTCTGACCCCTTGCGAAGGCTTATGGTCCCGCTCCAAACAGCCACACTCTGGGGTTCATAGAAATAGCAGTCCAACCAGTTCCTTTTGGATGTCAGTGGGAACTGTCCCCATGGCTGCATCAAGAGCAGGAACCTGCCACTCCAGAACCACACTCAGGGGTCTTGCCAATGCCCCACGCTACTGCCATGCTTAATCACTGTGGAGAAGGAGTGAACATGAAGATTCAAGGTGCTTTTGAAGCAGGAAATGCAGACAAATGCTCACCCTACCTCGTGACTATAGGACCAACACGCCTATTTCAATAACAGGAGACAGCATCCAACATCCTCACCCCAGTTAGTCAGACACTCTTCTGAAATTCTGTTGTCTATGCCCTGCAGAATTCCCTGTATCCCTTGGCTACTCGCCCCCCAATTTTTATTTGAATATCCATACACGCTGTCATCCCATTGCCCTGATAAGACAAAAAAAAAAGCATCAGGCTTACAGATTCCTGTGTTTGTTCTGTTATTCATTTATCTGCTCAGAGCGGATAACCGTCCCTCATAAAAATATACTTTTAGGGTTGAAAAAAATGCTTTATTCATTTGAACTCAACTTCCTTCTGCCTCTTCTCCTCTTAAGTAAATCCAAAAGCAAAAGGCTAATGGACATTTGGTTCAATGCAGGGAGCTTCTTAAAGCTGATAAGAAGGAGGGGTCTGAACAAAACAGGCCGGGTGCAGACATCCAATGAGCCCTTCCTTCCCCAGCCATTTTCTTTTCACTGTAGAACGGAGGAAATGCTCGTTGCCATGGTGACTGACTTGCAGGCTGAGCTGCTGCAGGCCTCAGTCTGTGCTCATTTGATGAAGAGACTACAGTTGTGCTCAGCAGAATATAGGGATCAAAGGGCCTGCCTGGGGCTGGGAAGGGGGTTCATGGGGGACCCAGCTATTGGGGGTGCAGCCTTCCTAACCATCTCAACAGACAAAGCAGGTCATGGAAAAATACAACAGAGGCTGCAGAGAGAAAGGGATGGTGTGGTGGAGGCAGGAACTGAAAAGGATGGAGTGAGGGTAAGGGATGGGCTCCGGGTAGAGGCAGGGAGACGATGCAGAGCTCGCTTCTGTGAGAATGAGGGGGACTTAGAGACCTCCAAATGCTGGTTAGGAAGAAATACAGCAATCTAGGGGCAGCTCGTCTCTAATGGCTCATATGGGGCTCAGGACTGAATTCTTACCTGAGAGCAATAAAAGGTCTCCCCCTACCTTTCCTGAATTTAGCCTGCGGCACACAGAGCCACACTGGACTATTATACTGGTGAGGGCCACTGTGTCCATGGAGCAAGTTGACTGCTGAGGCTGCTTTCTCCTGTCATTCCTCTCCAGATGGAGTAAAGGTACTGCTCAACCTTATACTGTGCGAGCCAAAGGGGTCTCAGAAATCACCATGTCCTGCCTCATCATTCTCCAGATGAGGAAGAGAAATAAAGTGACTTTCTTGTGGTCACTTCTAGTTAGGGCCAGGTGGCCCCAGAGCCCAGACCTCCTGGCTCCCGTGAAGTGCTCTTTCCACTGTGCAATGCTGCCTTCGCATGGGGGCTAAAATGTTTCCAGTAAGTGGAACAAACAGCCTTGTTTTTCCTGAGCGACAACCCTCAGATTCATCCTCCCTTAACAGAGCAGAGCAAGTCAGAGCTGACAAGGTCCTGCTGTAGACTGAATGACCCCCAACCTCACTGAAGCTTAACCCCCACGTAACTGTGGAGGGTGGCAAATCCTATTATGGTAATTGAAAGGTGGGGCTTTGGACAGGTGATTAGATCGTGAGGACCACGCCCTAGTAAATGGATTAATAAATTGATGGTTTGATGGTGGTCCTGGGCATGGTTCTGAGGGCTTTAAAAAGAGAGCATGTGAGAGTCTTTCTCTCTCTGCTCCTCCATTCTCGCCATGTGACACCCTTCATTACTGTAGTGTCACCTCACCAGATGTGTTCCCTGAACTTCGAACTTTCCAGCCTCTGAAACTGTAGGTAATACATATTGGTTTTTTTTTTTACAAATTACCCATTCTCAGGTATTTCTGTTATAAGCAAAAGAAATGGACTAATACAGGCCCCATAGTATTGGTGGGAGCACAGAATGTTACAGACAGGCCTACAGGCCAGTGCCATCCATCTCAGGGCCAACCAGGACCTTTTGTATTGCTTTCTGAGGCTCCCATTCCACGAGAACAACAGGCCTGGGAAGCTCAGAAGCTGTGCCTATGCCATTGGTCATCTAAGTAATGGTCCTTTCTGGAGTTTACTGGGGCATCTTTTGGAGAATTAGACGCATATTCCTGCCTGGAAAATCCAGTGGCCCGTATCCCGAGTGTTGGCAGCCAGCTTCCACATATGGATCCTGTTACTCTCAGAGCCCTTACTGCTTTGTGAAGGATATTCTTATCCCGAGTGAAAAAAACAGCCCTCATTTTTTCAGCTATTTTAAAACAGAACATGACTCTCAAGGGGCAGGAGAACACAGCAAGGCTGAAGAGTTTCCGTAGTCAAATGTGGCCAGGATCTAACTCTGGGCCATGGAGAGAAATGAGAAATGAGAGTTTCAAAGGAATTCCCAGTTTAATGGGATCCCACGCACATTTATCATCGCAGCAGTTTTGAAAAGAAGAGATATCCATTTAGACTCCTGGTCTCTCACAAACATGGGAAGGAGAGTGATTCCTTCTTTAAAACAGCAGGGACAAAGCTGGGCCAGAGGAACCCAACTCTCTGGAAATCAGCACTTGGATGTTTTCCATCGCAGCACAATGGCTGGTTCTTCTGCCCCCAACGCTAAACCTTGAACTAATCAGTTTAATAATGGTAAGTGGAAATCCTTCTCCAAACTCCAAACTCTTTCTCTCCACTTTTTGTCACCCTTTCCTTTCTTACTCTATAAATACTTTCATTTTTCCAATAAAAATCCCCACCTCGCCTTTCACCTTTCTTCAGCCACATATACAAGTGAAATTTCCTAACCAGGCATAATTCATACCTTTAAAGAAACTTATGAAAACATTTCTCCCAGATGAAGTATCTCATCTCTCCTGCTTTCCATAAACACTCTCCACATAAACACTGCGTCATCTTAGCTGTATCCAAAGATAAGTGCTTACAAACCTGGGTGCTTATACCTGGGTGGGCCCTTGGGCAGGGCTGAGAGCCCTTCCACATGTTGCATTCTATATCCCCCAACAAGTGCTCATCCTCCAAGGCCTCTTGCCCGTGAAATCCAGATAACTCACACTTTCTGGATTACAAAGCACACTTCATTATTTCATCTGATGCTCACAACTGTTCTGAGAGATAAAAAGGCCGATATTGTCTCCATTGTATAAAAGAGGAAATCAAGGCTCAGAGACATGAAACGGCTTGCCCAGGGTCACTCAGCTAATGAGCAGTAAAGCCAACCTGAAAAATAATCTAAGTCTAAGGCTGAGCTCTCCGTCTAAACTCCCCAGCTACTACTAACCTTTTGTTAGTATTACCTGTGAGTTACCATTTACTCTCTTTCCAGATCATGGGCAGAGTCTTTGTACAACAATCTAATAATCAAGTCATTGCCAGTATTTCTCTCTATAACTGACCTCTTTGCTCACAGATAACCATAGCATTATAACTCCTATTTTACAGAAGGCAAAGGAGAGGCTCAGAGCCATAAGTAAAGAAAACGATAGGGTCAAGATTCAAACCAGTGTTGAATGGAGTCCAAAGACCCAGGCATTTCTCCTACACTATTCTACCCCTTGCAAACAAACAGAAAAAAGTTCTATTTTTTGAAAACCGAATGATTCCCATTCTCCCTGTCTCATTTAAAATAACGCGGTGGGAGGCTGATCTATTTTTAAATGTTTTCTGTTTTAATGTCTTTTTTAAAATTGATGCTATATTCTGAACGGAATGCCGACTCTTAGCAAACAGCTTCAGGTGTAGATAACGGTGGGAGACTGATCTATTTTTAAATGTTTTCTGTTTTAATGTCTTTTTTAAAAATTGATGCTATATTCTGAACGGAATGCCGACTCTTAGCAAACAGCTTCAGGTGTAGATAGAAGTTTTGTAACTCTCAACTCCCTAGAAGAAGCAGGCTATAAAGTCTTAGTTGCTTAAGAAAAGTGAGTTACAATTTCAGTTCATAAAAGTTGCTAAGGTACTTATCAGAAGAGGTGGGAATCTTGCTAAGGCAAAGCAACAGAGAAGAATTATTCTGACAGCAAGAAGGAGTTCACAGATTTCACTTAAATCGGCAACTTCTTGCAGCAGTTTAATTTTAATGGTTTTTCTTTTCAGATTCTAATGAGCTTGAGAAGGTAGGAGCTGAGTGCAGAAAGTGAACCAAGGTCTCTCCCGTGGCTAATTGAAAATACTTTCCTGTTAAGAGGTTATGAAGACACTGGCTGCTGAGGTAGACAGGGACTGCAAATCTGCAGGGGACCCAGGCCGGTGGTCGGCACACCT